CGCGGGGTGGCGTCGACGCGCGCGCGCGCGGACGCGGTGGTGGACGTCGTGGGGGACGTCGTGGGCGACGCGGCGGGGACGACGCCGAACGGGGCGGTGGGCGTCAGACCGCGCGCGCGATTTCAACGAAACGCCCAGCTCGGAGGATGGAGGAAAAGGGCGAAAAAGGCGAGAAAGGCGGCGAAAAAGGCGGCGGAAGCGGCGAAAAAGAAGGCGGAAGAAGCGGCGAAAAAGGCGGCGGAAAAGGCGGCGGAGGCGAAGCGAAAGGCGGAAGAGTTGGCGAGGAGCCAGGTAGCGTCGATGAAGCGCGAGCTCTCGACGATTGAGAAGTATCTCAGCGTCTTCAGTACAGCCAAGGGAAAGGCTGAGCAAGTTGTCGACGATGTCGACGACCTGATCAAACAGGTTGGAAAGTCGTCAGATCTCTCCGAAAAAATCGACGAATTGACGAGCAAAGTGACTGGATTTCCGGACGAAATAGCGAAAAAGGTCAGTGGTTTCGTCGACGACGTCGTGGGCTCAATTTTCGGTGGTGTCGAGGGATTGGCGGACGAAGTCGGCGAGATGTTTTCGACTTCGGGCGCGGCCGCGCTCGGCGTTCCGACGAAGGATCACGAAGACCACGTCACACGCATGCTCAGTCCAGAACACTTGGAAAAACTCTTACGAAAACATTTACGAGATGAAGAATACGACGCCGGCGCACACACGCGAGCCCCCATCTTGGGCGGCAGCCCTTTTGACGGATGTTTGAGCATTCCCATCGAAAACGTGCTCCCCGCAGATTTGTTGGGAGTGGGTTACGGCATGCGCTGGCCAAAACACCTCTCAAACAGCTCATTTGCCCCGGACAGTTTAAGAGCGGGGTTCCCTGATCCGAAGTGGGAGACTTGTCTTCGAACGACGGGCATCAAGATAAGTGACGATCTCGGTCCAGCGCTCTTCAACGTCTTCAAAGGTTTCTTCATTCCGCTTTTCGACGCGGTGACCGACGGCGCGAAGGCAGCGGCTGTGGACTCGAAGAAAAATATAATGAAGAAAATGGGCACAATCACCGACGAGCTCGATCGGGCAGACCAAGCAGCAAAGACGATCAAGAACATCCTGGACAACGTCAAAAGTACCTTTCAAGGTCGAAGACGGCTGTTAACGCAACAAGACATGACTCGCGATATGTTGAGTACCGTTCGGGTTGCCAGTCACGCCAGAGCGGACCACATCAAGAGTCTCCACGCAAACGCGCTCGATGACATTGAGAGCTACGTTTTGCTCGAAATGGCAAAGATTCGCTCCACTCTCATCGAAGACCCGTTCCTCGAATCGGAAGTCACGATGCAACGCTTTCCGTTGTATGCTGCTCGCATGAACCAAGCGCGTCTGGGCGGGGCTTTCAACAAGGCCGCCTCGAATGCGCGTTCAGCGTTTGCTGAAGCGATGCAAGCCATGGCAGAAACTGAAATGGGACTAGAGCTCGTATCTGAGCTCAAGGTTGCACTCGAGATGGAGGCGAAAGTAGAGACGTTCAAGACGGGAGATTTGTTCGATCTCGTCTCTGGTGGTTACATACCCAATCCCGTACAGTTCGACGTCACTTTCCCGCTGCCGCTCTTCCCGGCGTTTCAAATCAAGATCCGGCTCGACGCTTCTTTTGCCATGCCGTATTTCATGCTCGCGGAGATGGAAGGCAAGATGGTATTCACGGTGACGGCGTCGTCAAATGCGGGTATTAAGCTGAAAGATCGCAAGCTGTCAACGGAGTATAAGCCTCCGAGTCTCAAGTTTGAGCCACAAATCGACACAAAGATTGAAGCACACGCTCAGATAGGATTCAACGTTGAATTCGAAGAGCAGTACCTCGCTCTGTGCTTTGGAAGTTTTGTGTGCGCGGGTCCGCAGTCCGTTATCACACAAAACATATACGCGGGCAGCGACGCGTACGCGGCCTATTCGAATCAAGGAACGTACGACAGTTGCCTTCTTCAGGCGAAATTCGCGGAATCGTTTGAATATTCTGACGATTACAAGAAAAAGCGATGCGGAAAAGCCGGCGGTCTTTCCTACGGTTTCGGTGCTTACTTTCAAGTACCGAAGACGCAAATCGAGTCCAAGCTCCTCATCGAGCTCAGTGAGTCGTGTCCAAACTTGCTTCCGTCGCCGGTTATTGCGACCTTTCCGGACGAGAACGATCCAAATCCAAACTTTTTCCTCGCCGAGTTTTGATATTTTTTCAAGCATGCCTCATCGCGTTGTTTCGGGCGCTCGTGCGTCTTTGGTATCTCTTCATCTCGAGCGGTAATTTTGTGTAAAATGGTTGTTGCGCCTAAGTTTACATTCGCATCGGCGCATTCGAGTCGCGCCCGTTCGCACGAACGCGCGCGCCGATGGGTCTGCGTCGTGCTATCTCATCGGGAACGGTTCGACGTCGATAGAAATCACGGCACGCATCCCACGCGCTCGAGGAGGGAGACGTGCGTGTACACGATGACTGGCTCGAACGCGAGTCCGGCGGCGTCTCCGAGTTTGGGAACCGGCGCGCCGCGCGGATTCGACGACGCCGTGAGCCTGAGCGCGTCCTGTCCCTGAACGTACGCCGCCGTGACGAGCTTCACGTGCACCTTATTCACGTTCGTCTCATCCACGGCGCCGCCCGGGACGTCTGGGAGCGGCGTGTACGTCCAGCGGTGTTCGTAATCCGTCGGCGCGACGCGCGCGTTCCCGTACTCCGTGCCGTACCCCAGCGACACCTGTCGAAAACTCTCGCGCACGTAAAACGCATCACCCTCCACGCCACTCTCGCGCGCGTTCGTGAACAACTCGATACGTTCGGCGTTCGGACTCGCGCGCGGCTTCAGCCGTATCGTCGTCCGGTCGTCCCCGTCCGTCGTCACCGCCTCCACCGCGTCCGCACCGACGTACGCGTCGATGATCTCCATCAAATTAAACCCTACATCCTCCCTCGTTTTCCCGTCCACGCGCACGAACCGCACGCGATGTTCGATCGTTCCCTCCCGCCCGACGTCCGGGACGCGCGCGACGCTCAACGCGCGAAACCCTGGGGTGTCCGGCACCCTCGCCAGCGCGCGCGCGTCCACGTCTCGACGCGGAAAACTCGCGTCCACGAACGTCGTCGCGCACGTCCACTCACCGAGCATCCACGGCGGGTACGTCGTCGCCCGTCCTCGCGCGTCGTTAAAAATCTGTTTACGAATCGTCCCGGGCGTCATCGTCGACGCCGTCTCCCGCGCCGCCCACGCGCGCGGCGCCGTCGTCACCGCGCACGGCGCGAGCGCGAGCGCGAGCCGGCGCGTCGCGCGCGGCGGCGTCGCACAGGGAACCACCGCGGTGCGATGCATCGGCACAATCTGCCGCGGCATGTCCACCGACGCCTGGACGAGCGCGCGTCGCGCGTGCGAGACGCTCGCGCTCGAGCTCGAGCGCGAGGGCGCGTCGGCGAGCGCGAGCGCGAGCGCGCGCGCGCGGGCGACGGCGGTGCGACGACGCAAGGTGAATCGCCTGGATGATTTATTGGACATTTTGGAAGATCGCGTCGACGAGGGCGACGCGACGGCGAGCGAGGTGGTGACGCGGGAGGCGGAGGTGCGAGCGCTGCGGTTGCGCGCGCGCGCGGTGCGCGAGACGATGGCGCGCGCGGCGACGGGGGGGGGCGACGACGCGGCGACGGGCGCGGCGACGGATGGGGCGCGGGCGACGGCGGCGGCGATCGGTCGAGGGGTGAGCGAGGCCGCGGGCGCGGTCGTGGACGCGGCTGGAGCGTTGGCGACGCGGGCGACGAAGGCGGCGGAGGGGGTGGCGGGATTGGAGAGGGCGGTGACGATGGCGACGGCGGCGTCGACGCGGGACGCGCGAGAGACGCGCGCGATGAATACGCGGGAGTTGATCGATCATCAAACGGAGCAGATGAAGACGCAGGATGAGGCGTTGGAGGGATTGGACGCGTTGGTCGGTACGCTCAAGACGACGAGCGTGGCGATTCACGATGAGGTGGAGTTGCAGCGAAAACTCGTCGAAGATTTAGAGGCTGATTTCGCGCACACGTCGGATCGCATGCGCAAACTTCGTAAGCAAGGTTTCAAGTTGGCGGGCGAACGTAACGAGGAGGAGCGGGAGCGTCTCGATAGGAACGAAGCCTTGGCGGAGATGCGCGCGAAGCTCGAAAAGCCCGCGCAGGATGAAAGTTCGTGCTCGATCATGTAATATTCATTCGTGGTGGTACTTTACATTCAACGCATTATTATCTTTACGCGAACTTCGTGCTCGACGCGGAGATGGAGTGAACGGCGTGGGCGTACGCGGCGTCACCGATAGCTTCATCGATGCGTCCAATAGTGGTATCCAATCGTTGTCTGAGCGACTCGTTTTCGCACAAGACTGTTCGAGTACGGTATTCCACGATGCCCTCGATGCCATCGATGTTCAACGTCAGCGTCGCCTTCTTTTCATTCACCTTCGGTTTTCCGAACTGTGCCTCGAGCATGGCGGCAACGACGTGCAGACGCCACTTCTCCGCCGAACGCTCGTCCTTCGTCTTGATGGCGTCTCGGAGCCCAGCCTCGGCTTCCTTCAAATTCTCTGGTTCGCTCTCGAGCTGTAATATGGCACTCAAGGTCGCATCGACGATCATGTCCGTGAGAGGGTCACTGTTCCACTCAATCACCACGTGCTCCACCCCTGTGACGTCGTCTGCGTATCGCTTGCGAATGGTGACCATGCCGTCATTAATACTCAAACCTTCCGTTATGATCTCAAACTTGTTCTCCGCAGCTTCGACGTCTGTCAGCTCCTCCATCTTTGCCTTCTTCGCGCGACTCTTCGCGGCTGGCTTCTTCTCGCCCTTCGCCCCTTCCTTTTCTTCGTCCCCGGCTTCCTCCTCCTCCTCCGTCTCCTCGGGAGCGAGTGTCGCGACGGTATGCAAGCCCTCGAACAAAGCTTCGAGGGCGAAACGCAGCGTGCCGATGGCGATCTTGCTCGGCACAAGCTGGCGCTGGGTTAACGTCGACGTGCGCAGCTTAGTATAGTTGTTCACGTCTTCGGGCGCGATGAGCATGTGACCAAAGTCCTTTTCCACGAGCACGCCGGCGACGACATCGCCCTCCTCGACCTCGCGCTCGGCGATGAGTCCCGTGAGCTTGGCGATGCGCTCACCCTTGTGAATGATCTGCACCGCTTGGCAGTTTTTCGGCGTGTAAACGCTCATTTGCTTGTCGTCGGCAGCGGCTTTGGCGTCCAAAGCGCGCTTGAGGCGACCCATCTCACCCGCCTCGCCGTGAACCAACACGACGTGCGGCGGGGCCAGAGTGTCCAAGAACGCCTGCGTCTGTGGATAATCTGCGTGCGCACTGAATGAGATCGCGTCGACAGACATGTTCAGCTGTAATTCTTGACCGTCTCTCGCGGTGACTTTGTTCACGTCGCTCAGGATCTCTCGCGCGAGTGTGCCCTGCACGGCGAAGTCGGCGATGATGACGCCATTCTTGGGTTCTTCGCACCACGACTCAAAAAGTTCTCGAGACAACCCGCTCTGAAGCATCGACGGCGTCGCGAGCACGACACACGGACCGACATCATCGAGCTCGCTCGCCTTCGAGATGTGCTTGACGTGATTGAACACGAACGGATTTGCCTCCTCGAAAGCCGCCTTCATGTCCGCGTTCAGGACGTTGATGTACGTCTGGTAAATTGTCATCGCCTTGCGCGCGAGCGTTGACGCTTGATAGATCGGAACCCGCTGCAAATCTGGGTTCTGCGCCCAGAAATCCTCCAGGATGAGCAAGAGCTCCTGTGCGCGACCGAGGGCGACGACGGGAAGCAATACATGCCCGCCTCTGCGCACGATGGCCTGCACCTTGTCCGTGAAGCGAATTTCCCGCTCCTCCCTCGGTGAGTGCGGCGACACCCCGTACGTGCTCTCCACGATCACCACGTGCGGTGGAATCGCCGGTATATCTGCCGCCGGCAAGTGCCTGTCCGCGATCCTAGAGTAATCCCCGGTGTACAACACGCGCAAACCGCCGATGTCCACGTTGAACATGCACGCCCCCAACACGTGCCCCGCCCTGTACGGCGTCACCTTCACCCCGTCCACGTCAATCTCCTGATGAAAGTCCACGACCTCGATCCTCTTCATCGACGCCTCCAAATCCGCATCCGTGAACAACGGCTCCTCTCCTCCTCCTTGTTTCATCAACCGCACGAAGTCCTGCATCAGCATGTGATAAATCGCCTTGGTCGGGTGCGTCATGAAGATCCTTCCTCGGAAATCCGTCCGTCCCACCAGGAACGGCACCGCGGCGCAGTGATCCAAGTGAAAGTGCGTCACGAGCAACGCGTCGACGGCGCTCAGATCGACGTCATCGAGGTACGGGAGCGAGGCGATGCCACTGAAACCTGGATGGATCCCGCAGTCAAACATGAGCGTCTTTCCTCTGAACGTCGCGACGACGCACGACCTCCCGACCTCGCTCCCGGCGCCCAGAGGGATGATCTCGAGCATTTCACCCTCGGCGTCGCGATCGGGGGCGACGTCGGCGGACATGGGACGAGTGAAGGGTCGGAATGTGGCGCGCGCGGGGATTCGTGTCGCTAAACCCAGCGCGAAGAGACGTCGCCGGCGGCGAGGATGTCGATCGGTGCAGAGACGACGCGGACGCGGTTAAACGGTGAAGAACGCGCGTTGTAAATCGTCGACGCGGATTCGGAGACGTTCGGCGTCGTCGAGGGCGTGGACGCGCTCGATGTCGGCGATCTCGCGTCGCGCGCGGAGCGCCCGGTTCTCGCGCTCCAATCGACGGTTCTCCTCGGCGTACTTTCGGAGTAAAGTCTCGACGCGTTCGACGCGGTGGACGACGTCGGAGGTGTGGTTGGTAACGCATTGTTGGACGTCGTGCGCTCTTGGTGAGGCGGTGCGCGGATGGCAATGGTCGTCGACGCGCGCGTTGGAGAGCAATTCGGAGACTCGGCGGCGAAGCGCTTGATTGGCGCGCCGAAGTTCTTCCAGCTCGCGATCGCGCCCGAACTCGGGCTCGACGTCCGATGAGCTCGTGTACTCGTGGTGAAGCTCAGGCGCGTTCACGATGGACGTCACGCGCGCGGCGTACTGCAGCGTTCGAATGGTCTCCTCGACGTGACGCTCGCTCGCCGTCACGCACGCAATCATCAGGCTCATGGAGCGTCCGCCCAGGGAATCCATCAAGAGCTTAGTGAGTTTGCTGTCTCTGTACGGCACGTGCGCCGACGCCGTTCTAGCGTCTCGACTCTCCTCGGCGAGCGTGGCGATGACCTTTCCGAGCGCGAATAGGCTCTTGTTAATGAGACTCGTCTCGCGCGTCGCGATGTCTTCGCTTCCGCTGAGTTTCAATCGCTCGCTTCCAGCCAAATCCACGAACGTCATCTTCCCACGAACACATCGAACCGAGTCGTTACCAGCGGCTCCGTCGTCATCCCCGCCGACGTTGAAGTGTCGATCGACGTGAACGGTGAGCACGGCGTGCGATCGTGACGACGACGCGTTGAGATTGTGCGCTCGAACTTGTCGTCTCGCCGCGCCGAGGTGCACCAAATCCAAAGCCTCTTCGGCGCTCGCGCATTCGTGCGAGGTGAGATTCGGGACGTGAAATCCTTCCTGTTTTCGCCATCGCACGCGCAGCGCGCAAGAGCTCTCCTCGTTCGTCAATAAATCGATAATTTTCTCCTTGTAAATTTCGTAATACGTCAACGTCACGACGGTCATCGCTCGGTCATCGCTCGCGTTTCTCTTCTCGCACGCGTCGAAGAGAAATCTGAGCGAGCGAGCGATGACACCTTCGTCGCTCTCCTCGTCCTCTTCATCGTCGTTCTCTTCGACGTCTTCTCGCGTCGCGCGGTCGCGTCCGCCGAGCATGGTGTACGTCTTCCCGCTCCCAGTCTGCCCGTACGCGAACACCGCGCTCGAGTACCCATCGAGCGTCTTCTCCAGCAAAGCCTTCGTTCCCGAAACGTCAAAAAAAGCGCGCTGCGTCGTCCCGCTCCCCGCACACGCCCCCCGGAACGCCACGAAACTCTCCTCGCGTCCGCCCGTCCGCGTTCTCGACGACCGCTCGAGCACGCGCACCCCCCCAACCTCCGCCCGCACCGCTCGCCCGTCACCGTGCGCTTCCCGTCGCACGCGCACCACCACGCGCACGCGCGCGCGCTCGTTCGCCGTCGTCGCCCCCGCGTCGCTCGCCGCCGCGGTGTCATCGCGCGCAGAAGACGAACCGTCGTGTGCATCCTCCACCTCGCGCATCGCGCCCTCTCCCTCGCCGTCGACCGTCGCGACGCGCGTCGCGCCGCGGCCGTCGCGCGCGCG